CTTTTTTGTCATTTAAAGAGACCGAAAGCCTGTTAAGTCTCTTTTTTGTCATTTAAAGAGACCGAAAGCCTGTTAAGTCTCTTTTTTTTTTCATTTTAGCAACATTATCTCTAAGTTGCCTGAAGCGATTGACTGTTAATAGGCCTAATATAGATTTTTCAATAAGTAAACCGAGTTTCCTACGATTTACGGGCCGGCATGGCCAGGGGGCGCTCGACTCGCAATTTGTGGGTCGCGGGTTCGTCATACCAAACATGCTTACCCTTTCAGCCGTGAGGGCGTTATAATGTGACGGTCAGTCCTATTATTCGTTAGTAAAATAATAGCCCAAGAGTTGGCGGTGGGTGGTAATGACCAGCTGCCTTCCCTCTAGTCTTACACTGCTAAATTAGGTAAGGGTAACGCAGATAACCCTCGTGTCGCTTTACGCGAAATCCATAACAAACATACGATTTACTAGCTTTACGATCATACACCCATTATTCCAACATAGATCTGATTTTTTTTTTTTAATGCAAGGAAGATCATTAGGGCTAAAGGTGTATTATTGGTTAGAGCTTTTTACAGATGCCTATAACTCTCTGAAGTAAAAATAATATATATGTCTGTTTTAGAGATTTTATTTTGAAAACCAATAATGCAACTGAAAGAACCATGCTTTATAGAAAGCTGTTGTTTTTGCGGAAAACTTTGTTGTTGTTGTAGAAAGCTGTTGTTGCGGTAGAAGCACTTTGTTGTTGTTGTAGAAAGATGCTGTTGTTGTGAAAGATTTGTTGTTGTTGCTTTAAATAAGTTTTGTTGTTGTTATACAAAACTATTGTTAATATATTGTTGTTATTGTGACTATAGAAAACTATTGTTGATATATTGTTGTTATTGTTGCTAGAGAAACTATTGTTGATATATTGTTGTTATTGTTGCTATAGAAATTGTTGTTGTTGTTGCTATAGAAAACTACTGTTGTTATAGAAAACTAATGTTGATATATTGTTGTTATTGTGGCTATAGAAAATTATTGTTGTTGTTGCTGCTGTTTTTTTTTAATATTGAAGAGCACACCGTATAAGGACCGTAAAAACTTTTCAGACAATCAAGAATGAACATCACATTGATTTTGATATAAAAAACCACTGTAGTCGACCGTTTTTAATATTTTTTCCTACTTACAATAGTAAAGATAACGAGCACTGCTGTTACAATGTTAGAGAAGTTCACAAGTGAAATTCATGTACATGTTTAATGATTTTTTCTTTCTTTCTGTTTCTAGCCTTATACGGCCAGGTGGTTAGGGTACTCGACTCGCGATCGCGGGTTCGAATCCCCGTCACACCAAACATGCTCGTCCTTTCAGCCGTGGTGGCGTTATAATGTGACGGTCAATCCCACTATTCGTTGGTAAAAGAGTAGCCCAAGAGTTGGCGGTGGGTGGTGATGACTAGCTGCCTTCCCTCTAGTCTTACACTGCTAAATTAGGGACGGCTAGCGAAGATAGCCCTCGTGTAGCTTTGCGCGAAATTCAAAACAAACTAGCCTTATAAAAGAATAGTTTTACCTCACGTAGTTAATAATGGATCGCGTAGTATAATGTTTTGTATAGAACCAAACTGAAGTTAAACATTTATTTTTAAAAAAATGTGAATACGCATTTAAAATCACAATATTTCGCCAATGTTAAATGTGCACCACCCGTTTGTAGAATCAGAGTTTCTGAACTACATACGCAACTTGTTCACGTGATAAACAACAACCAATCAGTAACATAAATGGTATTTTAAAAAAGTAACTTCGTGAGGGGATAAACACAAACGATTGCTTCAATAGCTATTACCGTTTCTTATATTTCCTTTATACAATGTTGAACGTAATGAAAAAAAAAAAGATGTCAACTTAGAACACCTCCATCTGGTGTTTAAAAATAAAATGAGGTAAGAATATTTAAATTTTAAATGTTCAGGGTTGACACTAAGTTTATGGAAAATGCGAACTAAAAGATATTGTTTCCGGTCTTTTCTAACTCATTCTTTTATACTACTGAATACTAAAACTTCTTTATCGAGTTAGCTTGAATTATACCTTCACCATTTCTTTTCCGTGCTTATTTGGTTTTATTTTTGGATTTTCGTTGCCCAATTTCCAGTCGATAAAATATTGCCGATTATCTTACTATCGAATAAACTGCAGTATGGAGTCTCCAAGGTTACAGTCTCCAAGGATACAGTCTCCAAGGACTACGATTCCAAATGTTATTATTTTTATTCGTTATTTTTTAAGTTTCCTGTCACGAAAGTTACGTTGATATCCAAAGATAGTTTTCTTCGTTGACATTTCTCTGACTTGTGGACTCTTCGTTTTATTCTTTTGAATAATGCAAAAATAAAAAGAGACGGAATGAAACTATCCGAAACATAAATTACAGACAATTTCTATATTTTTAGCCGCGGCAAAGTGGCTCAGAATGGCTCCGAGTTTTTTTTAAGTACAAGCTTTTAGCTCGTCATCTCTTGACTGATTTAAGATCGAATTACAGTTTTGGACTCGAGAGGTCAAACCCTTTCGATTGCTATATTTTACCACACCCAATGTCTCATAGATTAATTTACTCTACTCCTGCCTGAAAGAATTTCAAGTGCCACGACTATTGAGGATTCCCTCTTGTATAAAGCTAGTTGTGATGGGTTATAAAGTAGGAAAAAACGAGTCTCAAAGATAGTTTGTAACATCATCAGAATTGCAAGTAGGTACATCAATAGCACGAGCTTCGCGAGTAACTTTCGGAGTAGGCTAAGCGATAATACCTAAATCTTAAATGTAGATACCCGTAGTGGGCAGATCACAGATAGCCCACTGTGTAGCCTTGTGCTGAATTACAAACAAAAAACTACAGTGTGTTAACATTGGAGTAATTGCATGGGTTTATATTAAGCTCCTTATCATAACGTTCGGCACTGTTGACTTCACGTGTGGGCTGAATGTGGCCTAGTTCTTAGCTTGCAGGACTGTGAATCTGATTTTTATTGCCTCAGAAACGCGCTCCGCACTTTGGGGTGAGTTCTGTTGGTTAGCTGCCTTCCGTCTAGTCTATCAGTTCAAAATTACGAACTGCTAACACAATTTTGAACTGGTAGACTAGACGGAAGGCAGCTAACCAGGCTGCTGACTGCTAACACAACCTGGTTAGCTGCCTTCCGTCTAGTCTACCAGTTCAAAATTGCGGACTGCTAACACAGCCCTTGTGCATCTCCGCACCAATTTTCCAAAGAAAACAAAGTTCGCTGTGAGTTTAATATTTGGTATGTAGTTAAGAACATGCATTCCTTACTATTTTTTTTTTTTATTAATGGACCTTAATTGTGTATTATAAACTAAGATTCGACGAAATTTTAGGGAAATCGTGTGAGA